AAAAAAAAAAAAAAACATAGTTAGCTTTTATTCATTAAAAATGATGATTTATGTCGGCTGTAATTGTATACGCGAGTGGCAATACTGTAAATAAACAATCATCTCGATCTCGGGGCGAGCTCCGCCAAACCTCGCCGCTCACGAAACGCACCGTCTGCAGAAAAGTTCTCCATGACCACCACAGTTCAATCCCCGTTCACCATGGAGAACTCAAATGCTTCTTCTTCTTCTTCTTCAATAGTTCGCCTTAACATCGGTAACCCCTGCCCTGCTCTCTCTCTCTCTCTCTCTCTCTCTCTGTGCGCGCGCGAATATCTGCGCGAGGTGTTAAATTTCTGCACCGATCATGTTTGAAGAATGGAACTCCCAATCGTAATAAATTGAAATTGAGTTCATTTTTCTTCAAAGAATGTTAGAAAATTGAAAGTTCTCTTTTTTCAGTTCAAGATCGTAGTTACAGGCTTTTTGTGTGTAAGCCATTGAGCTTATCGTTTTTCAGCTAAGGGTCCATTTATGCATATGTATCTGCCAGATACACAAGCTAGTTGTTCAACTTTTGGTGGACTTCGAAACGGGCTTTGGAACTGAGTATGAAATTGTGGTTAAATAGTTTAATTTTCTGTAACTATCAACCTCAAAATAGAGTCTGAGCAAATGCTCCATGTGTCCTTTTGTTGACTCAGAATATGGGTTCTTGAAAGGAGTAGCATATCGGTTTGTATTGATTGTATGTTAAAACTTTAAACTAGTACCGAGGATCAGAAGCATAATTAGTCAGCAACATATTAAGGATGTGTAACTATACCTTTGTGTCATTTTCTTTTTCCTTGCCTACTCAAAGTGCTAGTTAAATTCTCTTTATTGTGATCTCCATCAAGGTGGGAAGAAGTTCTGCACGACTATTGATACCTTGACTCAGCGTGATCCTGAGTCGATGCTTGCGGCAATGTTCAGTGGTCGCCACACAATCTGTCAAGATTCTGAGAAGGTACATGAATATACGTTTATAGAATAGTTGAATTATTTTAGGAAGACCAAAAGGGAGAAAATACAAAACATATTCACTCTTATTCTGGGGCCTGAGGGACATGCATTTCGAAAGTTTTATGACACTTTATGGTCTTAGTTTGATAATTCTATAAGGAACTGCGAGATCTATTATAATATCACATTTGCTATTTCAAAGTTAGTTGGTACTAGAAAACAAATGTATGTATATGCATTGTGATTATTGACTCAGTGGAATGATTTAAGTCCTACTATGGGTTTAATTCTTGATGTTATTTAATCATGAAACAGTAGTTGAGGACATTTCAAGCATAAAAATCTGTTTATATTTGATTGAATTTGTTGCATCAACAATGTTAGTGCATGAATCCTGTTCCAATTTTGTTCTGTCTCTTCAACTCACTACTACTTTCAATTGGTAAAGTCGTATATCATTTGTGAGAGAGTTCTGTAGACTTGAATTAGGTTTGATTTAATATTATTCTACTCTTGAGTCTTAAAATCGTTATAGTCTGAGATGTGGTGAATGATATCATTGCAGGGTTATGTGTTTGTTGATAGGGACGGAAAACATTTTCGGCACGTTTTGAACTGGCTGAGGGATGGTGTGGTCCCCTCTCTGAAGGATTCTGAGTATTCAGAGCTTTTGCGAGAGGCTGAATATTACCAACTAATTGTGAGCAAATTGTACTCTCTTTTTCTCGGAGTCATTTGTTCTTTAGAACTTGCATTACCTTGAGGAAATTGATATTCTTGTTTATAAGCCTCTGTAGACCTTGCATGTGGTGGAAATGAAACACACTGATTTTTGGGCAACGCCTTTTGTACCAAGAGTAGTTGTTCTTTTGTTATGGAGTTTATTTTGAGGATTAATACGCCCTTGAGCGTGTGATTTGGGTAACTGTAGGTTTATCCTTCTTTGATGGAATAAATTTGTCGAGAGAGTTTTGGAATTGTGGTGTGTCTGAAATTCTGATTGCACGAATGGTTTGTTTGACGTTTCTACCCTGAACACCCTGGCTTCTCAGTGTAGCACAATGTCTATAGATATGCTATGTTTGGCTATGTGTTTCGCAGATTGACTTTTATGTTACCCTTGTTCCTTGGAAAAGTAAGGGGCATGAGGACACGCATGTACTTATTTTGCCCAAGTGTTCTTGTTCTTTATTGTATGTAAATGACTCTATTCTATTATCCAAATAACCTCGTTGTTCCCAGGGGTTGATGGATGAAATCAAAGCATCTTTGGTTAAGAGAAAGGAGGATGAGGAGATGGGTACAGAATTGACAAGAATTGATATCATTAGATGCATACAGTCAGAGAGGGTCAGATTTCGAGGAATCAATCTCTCCGGACTCGATCTTTCTAAACTGGTGTTGTATTCTGTTTCCTCACCGAATAATTCTCTTAAATTATTCAGCTGGAATGGCATCTTTATAGTAGGCTCTAATCATTTCGTCATTGCTTGGACATCGTGTTAAAATTCTGCTAAAGTGCTAATGAAGTTCCAGCTGTCAATGTGGTTATAGGACATCCCCGACTAGTGGCCTAAATGTGGATGTAGTATACAAATATATTGTATGTTAGATTTATTTCATTTTATTACGTTCAAGTGTTACGAAATTACAGGGTAACGTTTAGGAATTTCTGTAATAGATCTCTAATCTGTTTCTAACTGTAAGTAGCTTCTCTAGTGTATTATCTAACAACTGTTGTTATTTTCATATTTTTCCCTTTTCTTTTTGCAAAAGAGGATCTAAAAACAAACTACAATTTTTTTTTCACCTTTTTTTCTATTGTCAAAACGCTTTTTGTATCCAACTAATGCAGGATCTGTCATATGTGGACTTCAGTTATGCCTGTTTAAAAAATGTGTTCTTTTCACGTGCCAATCTTCAATGCGCAAAGTTCAGGGTGAGTGTACTGATATTTGAAGGATAGAATGCTCTTTGTTTCTTTGTTCTTTTTATTTTCTTTTTCCTTTATAATGTAGCTAAATGTATCTATTCATAACATAGGAAAATATTATTTTATGTCACAGGATGTGGATGCTGAGGCTTCCATATTTCACAATGCAACTTTGCGAGAGTAAGGCAACCTTTTTATGCAGTTTTTATTTTTGTATATTGTTTCTTCACCTTAGTTTTTGAGATTCTTTTGGAGCAAGTGGTGGTGGAAACAGAAACTGTCGTTCCTTAAACTGTCGTCTCTATTTGTTTCAACTGTTATTTGCTCTTCTTTGCCATCTCTAATGAATTGATTTTTGGCCTGCGGAAGATGTGAGTTCACTGGTGCTAATCTTCGTGGAGCTCTTTTAGCTGGGGCTAATCTCCAAAGTGCAAATCTACAAGGTAACTTGTGCTTGGATGTAGTTGCATTTTACAAAATTTCTACCATTTTATCTTGCCAAATATGCAATTGCATGTCATATTTTCTGAAAAATGCTCCACTCATTCGCATTGTTTCGAGGATTATGATCAGTTATTTTGTATATTATTTAAAAATTATTATAAGAGCTAGAAGATGATGAAGCCTTGATTGTATCCTACACATAATATATTCAGTTGAAGGAGAGGAAGCACTGTCATTATTATCACAGAACAAAATTCGTGTTCTAGATATGGATGACACCTAATATATCCAAAACCTAAAACAAACAAAATATTTGGGGTGCATGTGTAATGTAAACCTATGCATGATTCACATTTTTATGAGCAGGCCTATCCATTCATCCACTAATACTGTAGTGGGTAAGTCTATCATAAAAACTTGCAAACCCTGTTAATTAATGTTATGCTTTTCTCAATACTATATATGCTAACATCAGAAATTCTAATTTGATCCATTTTCTTGCCTTCATCTGTGGAATCACAGTGAAATTAGATAAAGTAATTGTTGGATGTGGTTCCTGTCTTTTGATGTCCTTTTAATATTGTGTCCACGCCATTTACATCATGTCCTTTCTCTATCGAGTCTTGAAGTTGGTAAATTAATTCTTGTGAACGACATTTTCTTCAATCACAGATGCTTGTTTGGTGGACTGTAGCTTCTGTGGTGCAGACCTGCGTTCAGCTCACCTCCAGGTTTTTGTACACCGAAATTACTGGAAATTTTGTCTAGTTTGACCTGTTGCATTTACTAAAAAAATGCTTTAAACCATTTTCAGACTGCTGATCTAACCAATGCCAACTTGGAAGGAGCAAATCTTGAAGGGGCCAATCTGAAGGTAAAAGTTCTTTTGAGTACTTCTGCTTTGGTTGTAAAATCAGAAAATGTGATATTTCTATGTTTTATTTATTGTATATAGGGCAAAAAACCGAGTTTTTTTTATCTATGTCTTATCTGATTCTTTTTCTTTGCACTGTCATTCCCTTTTTCTGTTCATTTTTTCTGAGTCTGGGGTCATTATTAACATGTATCTGGGCCCGCCCAGGATATAAATTATGGGTCTCAAATCTGGTAAAAAGTACAGTCACTTGGTTAATTTGAATTTATGAGTGCACATTGAAGCACAATATCTCATTTCTTTTTTCAATCAAATTGTTGTGCCGGTTTTCTGGTCCAATAGAATACATCCACATATTTTTTTTTCTTTCTTCTTTTTCTGCATATATAATGCATAAAATCGTCTCCCCAACTCACGTATGTTCTTTCTCCAGGGAGCGAAGCTTGCTAATGCAAATCTGAAAGGTGCAAATCTCCAGAGAGCTTATCTGCGGCATGTAAATCTTCGTGAGACGGTGAGTAATCTTAAAATGTGAGAGAAAAAAGAGAAGAAATAATGTGGCTTATTATTTCATCTTAGGATTTATAGGATTGACCATCGAGTAGCTGCTTTTAGTTACCCAAGTACTGACCGAACTGCTATGGGGGATAAAATTACATATACTCGATTTTTCTGCGTCTTTTGTTCCTTTTGCTTGTTTGTATCCCCTCTAGTTAGGAATCAAAAGTACACTCAGGCAAAACTTTCCACATACTTCTTTTGCTTTATTGCTTTGCTTTATGTTCAATAGTAGTAGTGTTTAACTTCACCGATTGTGTGATAGGCCTTCGAATCTTCTTGATTTTCTTTCTTCTCCTTTTCTCTCCACAGGATTTGGAAGGTGCTAATCTCCATGGTGCTAATTTATTAGGAGCCATCAGGTGAGGAGGAATGAAGTTCAGTATTTGAGTGGTCATTAACATATTTGTGTAAACACCTTTAATTCTATCATCCATGTTCAAACCGATGCATTTCTCTCAACTTATGAGACGAAGAATGTGCATAATAAATGCGCAGTATCCTCTACTATCTTTAATTTAAGGTGTGTCTTATGTGGGAGTATTGTATATTTAACTTAAGGGAAATGCTAAGGTTCCGTTATGGAACCATTCTGTCGGGATTTTGTAACCGTTAAATCATCATGTAACCGTCAAAGATAGTTGATCTAACGGTTACAAACCCCGACGGAATGGTTTCGTAAAGCATATTCCTTAACTTAAAGTGTGACGTGTGTAAATATTGTGACACTTGCCGAGATATTTATTTTTCTGCAAGAGTGGTCTTCTCCAAGCCAAAAGCATGACCACGTTAATACCTTGTATGCAAATTAGGGGAATATATGTAGCCTTTAGGAAATTGAAGGTATGCACTAAAATCCAAGCTGAAAAAAGAAAGAGATGTATATGAGATTAGATAAAGTGATGTTCGACTTGAAAATAAGTGATGGGCTTATACAAGCTTGCTATCAGCTTTGCAAGGGCTCAGATTCCCAATTCTCACCAATCTTTGTTAAATAATATTAATAATACGAATTCATTAAGTTTTAATCATAAATACGATTTTTTTTATTTAATTAAGGGAAGTTTAATGTTTGTGAAAACAACAACTACACATTACTTAATGATGGTTGTCTTCTTCCATGATTATCGGGAAGCGTGATATTTCTCCTTCCTTCCATATGAAACCGTAAATCAAGAAAATAAAAATTGCTTTTCTCTCCATATGCTCCCGTGTATCCTCTTTACAAGAAAAAAAAAAAAATTGGCTAAACACAAAAATAAAACCTCTTCTCAATCCCTAAATATTCAATGGTCAAGCAAAAAAA